AAAAGGGAGGGAGACCTAAATAGTTTCACAGCAATCTTATAAATGCCAATACCGGGAGGACTTGACAGATAATGTCCTTAATTTCAATGTAGCTAGGTGCTTCTGCTGCAACTTGAAGGCAAGGAAGTTCAACCAAGAAACAGGATAGATATTTTTAATGATGCCCTTAATCACCTGAACAATTTACTGAAGTTCAGACAGCTTTGTTAGCATTGGAAAAGTTTTCAATCCAGATTGAAAGCTTTTCTGAAGATTTTGTAGTTCAAAAATACTTACTAAATTTGAAGCAGGGGTCAATACAGGAAAATGCAAAGGATTGCATCTGTGTGGATGGTCAGACTAAACTACCTTGGCCTTTAAAATACAAAAATGTGTTCTTTAAAAACATTATTGTTAGTAAATTTAGTATTTCATTATGAGATAACTTGATCTTATTTGTTTCCTCTGCAGTTTCTAGAATCATCAGCAAACATGTTTGCTGCAGCACAGCAGTTGTCTCAAAATATTAATCCGGGTAAGCTTTTTTTGTTGCTGTACTTGTTGCCATGGCAGCAGAATGCTCACTGCAGCTCCAAAGCAATATCCTGCCAGAAAGACTCCTTGCACTGAGACATCACTTGAATTAGGTCTTTGGGTTTTGCTTTGTCAAAAGGCATGTTTGGCTGACATTAGCTCAGAACCCAAAAGATACCTACTTAGTATTGGTCAGGAATTCACTGAAATTTTGTTTGAGGCTTTTAAAAAAGGCAGGCCTTTCCTGCCTCCCTTTACATCCTGTTTCCAGATGGTGCTGAAGTCCTAGGCACTGCCTGCCTTGGAGCATCATCCAGCTTCCTAGTGACCTTGACTCCCTGGGTACTTCTGCTCTTGCTTGAGAGCCTGATTTCTGTAGCTATCCAGAAGCACACTGTTCTGAGGAGGATAAGTATTTGCTTCCTACCTGCCTTTCACTCTGGTGCAAGCTTAGGTCATGGAGCTGCGTGAATTCCCCAGAAATGCAAGAATGCTGCTTACCTCATAGCTGACCTATGGTTTGTCTTAAAGGCTGCTCTGTGCTAGTTAAAATCTTGTCATGGCAACACTCATATTTTTTTAAAGTTCTTGTTGTTACAAGTACTCCAAAAAATGGACAGTCTGGGATTTATAATCCACAACTGCTTTGCCACAGAGTGCCAGGCTATCAGAATATTCTGAGGGGGAGCAGCATCCAATTCTGTTGGGATGCAAGCAATCAGGAGCAGCATCTGGCTTCCTAGCATCAGGGAGCTAGCAAGAGAAAAGGCAGCAGGATACATCCTCCCTTTCTGTAAAGAGACAAAGCCCTGTCACATTTGGGGCCTGTCTGCAGAAAAGGAGGAATAGTTCTGGATCCCTCCCTCACTGTTATGCTGCAGGGAGAACAGGAGAGAGTGACTTACATTCCTGACTCTAATTACTTTGATTTCCCTTGTAATTAAAGCATGATAGATACATAACTTCATTAGAATGTCCCTGTAGAGGAATATATCTCTGACTCTGGGGGTAGCTGGGTCAAGTAACACATCTTCAGGAAATGGTCAGTGCTGAGGAACCCAGCATCTGTTTGCATCTCCTCTTTCAGGAGGTTCACTTCAGACTAGCATGTCTGGTCCCAAGGGCTGAATGCCCCATAGTAGCTGAACTGCCCTGACTACTTCTGGAGCAGGAAAATATGTTTCTAAAGCAGTGTTAGTCCAAAGTGAAATGCCAATAGGAATGCACCAGTAGGTACCTTCTTCTGGAGGAGCAGATTTCAACTCTCCATTTCATTGCAGCAGCTCCTGCTCTACTGAGGGTAGTGATCAAGTAGTGACTCTTATAATTCAGCCAATATTTAACTTACCAGGCATGAGAAGGAAGGCCGTGACTCAATTCATTAGGTGTTTTTCATGCCTTTCATCCTTGATTATGGTACTGATGGACTGGGATTTTTCCCCCCCCACCCCATTTATTCTCAATGGTTTCATACAGTGGAAAAAAAAATCTTTCTTGACCCACTTGTAACTGCAGCCTAATCTTAAGTACCAGATTTATATTTGATAAAGACCCAATTTCCTTAGGAGCACTCTGAGGGTTTTCTTGTTATACCCACAGGACTACCAACAAATAGTCTGCTTGCTTTTTAAATCAATTGCTCTAACATACCAGAATTTAAAATATTCTTTGTGCCCAGAAACAGCGCAGCTGCTTTTGATCGTCTCTGATGGAAGAGGCCTCTTCTTGGAGGGCAAGGAACGAGTGACAGCAGCAGTTCAAGCAGCTCAGAATGCCAACATCTTTGTCATTTTCGTGGTGTTGGACAATCCTAATTCCCGGGTAAGTAAGAGAACACAGGAGAAGTATTCATGTGCAGTGAATGAGAAACTGTTATGGATCCTTTGCTTGTCTTTCATAGTGCTTTACAGCTATTTTATCTTTGGCAGAGGTCAAAGATACTTAGCCCAGTTTCAGTTTTTCATAATGTCTGTCAGATCTTCTATGATTTCTCCCTCCTGTGAGGGTTATCCTCTTTTCTATAAAAAAAAAATAAATTGGCTTTTACACCACAGAAAGTCCGAAGTAAGAGCTCCTGTCTTCAGATGTAATGGTTGTAGATTTTGGCCCCCAGAGAAGTAGCTGGCAGGCTTATAAATTCAGATGTTGAGAAACGCTTTGTTCATCTCAATGCTCATTCACATTGATCATTTCTGACAGCAGTCTCCATTGGATATGGCAGCTGGAGCCAATATGAGATGAACATTAGACAGAAAGGAGTATATGACAGTTTGGTACCTGAATTGAGAAAGCTGGGGATTGTTATTTGGTGGCTGTGAAAGGAAACTTGGATTTCCTTGATTGGGAAGCTGAAATATCTGGGAGCTTTTTAGGGAGACTCTGGAGTGCAATAAGTGAGCAAACTTAAGTGTTACTTTGAATTATGTGAGGACTAATTATGTGGTGAACACTATTTTTTATATTTCTTGTTTTCTAACTATATTTCTTCATGCAAACCTCATCTGCTATATTTATTGTTGAAAAATTAACAGTTCTTTTGCTGACAAACTATTACCAAGTTCTGATGAAACCTAGCTATAATATCAAGTAAAGATTCTGGGCAGTGAAATGCATTTTTATAACCTGTATTAATTTTCTGAGCTGCTGCACTGAGTAACTAATAAATCACTTCACAAGAAGCTGAACTGGTGTTTAATCTGATTTTTGTCTTTGTAGTATTTATTGAAATATTATAATTTGCTGAAGAATCTTGTTGTATTAGATCACTGCACAAGTTGAACTTAGCCCTAAAGGTGATCTTGTGCCCTGAAGGCATCAAACATATAAAGCAGTAAACTTAAACCATAAACTACTGAGGAAAAACAGGATTTCTGTATAGAATTTGGTATTACAGGAGCTGAAGCTTAGTCTCTTCTAGCCTGTAATTTGTTGATTTGAGCACTTGTAGATAAAAGGGCAAAAGGATTTAACTACTGTTCAGCTTTTGATTTACCATTGAACACTTGTGGCTTTTAATCTTAAAACTCTTATTAATTTAACAGAGGAGGAATTGTAAGTATGTGAAAAACAGGATAAGGAAAAGATGTGTGTGGTTTAGTAATAACATCAATTCTTTTTTTACAGGACTCCATTTTGGACATTAAAGTACCTATATTCAAAGGACCTGGAGAACTGCCTGAGATCAGATCTTACATGGAAGAATTCCCATTCCCGTTCTACATGATCCTTAGGGATGTGAACGCACTTCCAGAAACTCTCAGTGATGCCCTCAGACAGTGGTTTGAACTGGTGACTGCCTCAGACACTTTGTAGACTTTGTAGACAAAGTCAGTACCTAATTGCTGCTAAATGCCTGGAACAGATGAAGCCCCATTTATTCCATGGGAGAGTTCCTAAGATCCCTGTCTACCTAGGATTATATGCAGGAGCTGCCCTATAGCAGCCAGACTGCCTGAGGACAAAAAATGGTTTAGGTGCCACCCTCCCACGTTTTCAGGGGACAATTATGCAATGGTGAGACTGTTTTCTGTCATTGCCTATTTTCACAAGTAAAACTGCCTTCCAACTTATCTTGTAATAACTTATTACTTTAAAAAAGAAAATGTTCATAGAAGTAAAAATATTCTTGCTGCTGTCTGTTCCAAGAGCTAAAATCAGTCTTGTTTCTGGGGATGAATTTCTGCATTAGAAGAACTTTGGGTGTCTCACAAAAAAGCAACCATTAGCTTCCCCCATGTGGCAGGTGCCTTTGGGAAGGAGACAGGGCAGCAGCAGAACCAGATGTGGGGTTTTTTTAACCAACCAAAAAAATTAAGTATTTGAATACTTGATTCTGCAGTTAAATCCTATGTAATGATTGCTGATCTTTGTCTAACAACAGTGAGTTTTATGAATAATGCCATATGATCATCCCTATATTATCAGTTTACACTGTGAAGTTTGCCCCTCTGTCCAAGGCAGACATTGAGGATGTTTCATTAATCCAATGTCTGTGAGCATGGACATGATTTTTCATTGCAAAAGCTATGCATCTTATATTGCCTGTTCTAATAAAAAGAGGTACCACTGTTTTTAATTACGATGCCAGTTCTTCCAGTTGATCAAAGCTTGGATAAATTAACCAAACCTGCCACATGGAAATGCTGTGCATTCCCTAGGAGTGCACAAATACAAATTTTCATGTGAAAATGTATTGTTGTTTACGTAACTTCAACACCGGTTCTGCTATTACGAGGATAATACCAGCAGAGTTTTGGTTAGGGGTTCAGTATTTTGATTTCTAACAATGAAAATTCAAAGGGAACTTGGCTCTAAACTCTCCTTCAAGATTTTGTGTACAAAAACTGAAGGTGTCTGATTCTAAGTGTGCTGCAGGAGTTTATCAGAAAGTGGCTGGAAAGGTGGGTGCGTTCCTAAAAATGCCCTAATTCTCTTTGGCTTCTGGATACAAAAATCTAACTTCAAGTAATTGATGTAGCTGTTCTGAGATGCAGCAGTGGCAAAGAGTCAAAGGTGTGAAATGGCCCAGCAAGGTTGTTTCTCATATTTGTGGCTTTGCCAGAGCTAGGTCATGGTAAGCAAATTTCCAAACTGAAAACAGAGGAACTCTGTCCCATCAGAATGTGCATGTCAGGTACTAGGTAATACTTTTCCAGGGTTCTTTAGATCTCTCATCCATGTATACAAATATTTGCATGCCTTGGGAAATACAGCTGTGGAAATAGGTGGGTTTAGTTCATTAGATAATTCTCCAGGCTGTACTTCCGTTTCTGACTTGTACTGAGGATTTGCAGTAGTAAACCTGGAGAAAGTATTTTTTAAAACTTTTCTGACAATTGCAGTTAAGCACTTCCAGCATAAATTACAGTTTGTTGTGGGGATGTTGTTAGAGCCTGAGACAAAATTTTATCCACAGTGCTTACTGCAAAAATGTTTAAACAAAGTTTTTCTCTATCTGTGACCAAGAAAGGGCTTGCACTGTGGTTGGTACCAGCAAACACTGAGTGGGTTAACTCTTCTTGTTTCTCTGCCCGCCAGGGCTCCCTTTGGGTCTGACATTCCTTGGCACAGCTGTGGTAAAGAAATTGACAGTGTCTTGCCCTGTCACCAACAATTGCATGTTTGGCCAGCACTGCAAGTATTTAAAAGGATGCACAAGAGGGTAGCTTAGTGTGCTGTAATTGCGTGGGTGACTTCTGGATCTCACTGCATGCTTGATCCTGTGGCTCAGCACGCGGCTCCCGGGGCTACACGAGTCTCCAGAGCACAGGCCCCTTCCTCCAACCTCTGGAGATGCAAGTTGGTCGCGTTATCGCTGCGCTGCCCGGTTTGTGGCTGGGCCTTGTCAGCAGCTGAGGAAGCAAAACGCAGAGGAGGCCGCTACACGCGCACCCTCACCCACAGGCGCTGCGGTAGCGCTTCTGGTGCCCGGCTCCTTGGCTCTGTCCGTAGCCCCTGAGCACCGGCAGAGGAAAGGAGAAGAGAGGAGAGAAGAGAAGAGAGAAAGGAGAGGGAGAGAAGAGGCAGCCCCGGGTCCCGGGTCCGCCCCGCC